AAAAAAAAAAAAAAAAAAGAAAGTATCCACAGCATATTAAGCCAATGTAAGGACAGGATCTTAGATATAAAAGACAGGCTTGCAGGTAGTGATTATGAAAAGAAAAATTCCTTAAAAATAGCAAAGGATCATGAGAAATCAATACAGTAGCTGCCAGATGAGACAAAGAATAGGTTAAGATTGATGGGAGTTGGGGCTGGGGATTTAGCTCAGCAGCACAGTGCCTGCCTGGCAAGCGCCAGGTTGTGAGTTCGATTCCCAGTACTGGAAAAAAATAACAAAAAAAAGATTGATTGGAGTCAATGAAAAACCAGGAGATAGCACAAACAATATAAAAACTTCACAGACATCATGGCAGAAAACTTCCCTGGTAGAGAAAAAGAATTTGACATCCGTAAGTGAGGCATACAGAACTCCAACTAGCCACAGTCAAAAAAAAATCTATGGCCAAGCATATCATACTCAAGATTCCATAAATTCAACACAAAAATAGAATCTTAAAAGCTGTTGGGGAAAAGAAACAAATCACCTATGAAGGGAAGCCAACCCATCAGAATTACAGCTAAATTCTCAGCACAAACACTGAAGTCAAGGAGAGATTGGAGTGAATTATTTCAAGTTCTAAAGGTAAACAACCTTCAACCCAGATGGATGTACCCTACAGAACTATCTTTCAAAACTAATGGAGATTTGCTATTTTGTAAAAAGTTGTCTGTCTGTTAATGTCTACCTCCTTTTATTTAAAAAAAAAATGGAAAAAAAAAAAAAAAACTAATGGAGAAATAAGATACTCTCATGACAAAAAACATCTGAGGAAATTTATGACCACCAAACCAGAACTCCAAAATATTTTGAAGGACATTCCAGGTTTTTTTTTTTTTTTTTTTTTTGGTTTTTTTCCAGTACCAGGAATTGAACTCACGACCTCACGCTTGCCAGGCAGGCACTGTGCCACTGAGCTAAATCCCCAGCTTGAAGAACATTCTGGGAAGAGATGACAAGGATTACAACTCCATGAACCCCAACACAAGGAATCCACTGGGCAAGGCAAAAAATTAAACAGAGTGGGAATACAGGAAAATAACATCACAAGTCAATATGTACCAGTTAGAACCATCAACATTAATTATCTTAATTCATCAACCAAAAGACACAGACTGGCAGAATGGATCAAGAAGCAAGATCCAACAATACACTGCATACAAGAAACACATTTAATTCAAAAAGAAATTCATAAACTGACAGTCAAAGGATGGAATACTCCAAACAATACTCCATGTGACAGGAACCCAGAAAAAAGCAGGAGTAGCTATTCTACTTGCAGACAAAGTAAATTTCATGCCAAGACTAATTAAAAGAGACAAGGAAGGTCACTATATCCTTGTAAAGAAAACAACCCAAGAGGAAGAGATAATGATCATAAATATATATGCAACAAATACCAATGCAACCAACTATATAAAACAAATATTAATGGGCATGAAAAATCAAATAAGCACTAACACAACTGTACTAAAAAAGATGTGGTCTTTTCATACAAGGGAGTACTGCTCAGCCATAAAGAAGGATACACTGGAGACTTTTTTAGGTAAATGGATGAAACTCAAGACCATACTCATAAGCGAAATAAACCAGACACACATGTGTAAACATCCCATTGTCTTCCTAGTGTGAGAAGCTGAAAGAATAAATAAGATCCAAAGTGTACAATATATATTGTAAAATGTGAAGAAACTTCAAATGGAAATAGAAACTGGGATGGGGAAATGGAGAACAGAAGGGAAAAGCAAAAAGAAAAAAATATATATATATAAATATAAAAGGACAGTTAAGATAGTTATACTACTAATTTCTCTTAGTTCATTGCTAATATTGTTTGGACAATTAAATGCTGATATCCTGAACTCTGAGTACCTAATTTAAAGATAAAAATATGCAATGTATTAACCATTGTAACCCTTCTATTTTGAAATTTTTTTAAATTCTATTTTTGAAAATTTTTTTAAAAACTTTGAAATTTTTTTAAAGTTTTTTTCCAAAAATTTTTATAATGAAAAGAATAAAATCATTCACAGAAGAAATCCAATGAATATGTCAAGTGAAATATCACGTTCATGTTTTTAGAAGTTATGCAGGTTCTAAAATTTAAAAATAATTCCAAAAAGTAACAATACCTTTTCGATAGTCATGAGATTTAAAGATACCAGAAATACCACCAATCCTCACTCCTCGGTATTTTACTACACCAGCCAAACCTGAAAAATTATATAATTGAATAAAATTATTATAGACAAAAGCAATCAGTATAGAATAAACCATTTAAAGCCTGGAATTCCACGCAGTCCTAAAAATTATTTGACAGTAAGTATTATGATGAGGTTACTCTTTCCACATAGTTAATGTCAGAAATATACAAAGTAATACACATGGCCAGAGAGAAAAGATTTGGAGGTAGATCAGGGAAGAAAGTTAGTCAGTTCTGGAAAGAATAAATGGGGTAGAATGCTAAAAGGGAAACAGATATAATGTAATACCTAAATAAACATAGGGATGGGGTAGGGGACTATCCTATGATGGATTTACACATTATGAAGTAAATCAACAGGTGTAAGGTGTAAAAAGCCTGCAGTTTCTACCTTTCATTTTTGATGGATCACCTAGCAAATTCACCTTTTCACAATACTGTAGTTGTCAATAGGTATCAATCAGTAATGAAAACCCTATGTTACTGAAGTTATAATTTCATCACTGGAAAAATGTTAGAAAATGATCTAGGAAATAAGGGCCTAAAGTGAAACTGAACTGAATCATGTCTGTAAATCTAAATACAGGAAATGAAGAGTAAAGCCACATTTTAAATAACATCCAAGGAATTCAATCAGTAAATCCAGAATGCAGGAAATGCTACAGTATTTTCCCATTTTCTTCAACAAATAAATGGGGTAAAACAAAGAGGGAGGGGGTTGGGGATATAGCTCAGTGGTACAAGTGCCTGCCTGGCAAGCGCAGTCCAATCCTGAGTTCAATTCCCAGGACCAAAAAAAAAAAAAAAAAAAAAAAACCCATCCATAAAACAAAGAGGGAAGTAATAGGGGAGAGAGACAGAGAAGGAGAGGCAGGCCATTATACTCTAAGACTTTAGAGTCATAAGCACCAAATGAAATGTGTGGCTCTTGTTTAGATCCTACTGGACCAAAAAAAAAAGAGCCGGTGTGGTAGCACCCACCTGTAATCCCAGCACTGGACAGGCCGAGGCAGGAGGATCACTGTGATTTCGAGGCCAGCCTGGGCTACAAAGCGAGCTCAAGGCCGGCCTGAACTGCATAGCGAGACCCTCTCTCAAAAAGACAAAAAAAAAAAAGTAAAGCAAGACATCTTTGGGATAACTAGAGAAATCTGAGTATGAATGGGAAACAGGTAACAAAGAATTACTGTACTGTTACTTTTGTTAGGTATAATGATACATTGTGGTATTTTATAAAAATTCTTACCACTTAAAAAATGTTAAGTATTTATAGATGAAACAATCTAATGCCTGGGATTTGCTTTAACACTCCAGTCATCTCCTTCAAAAAAGCTGAGGATATAGGTTGAAAACAAGGACAGCAAAATGACAATAATCACTGAAGTTAATTTAACAGGTACAAAGATTCATTATGCTACTCTCATTTTTGTGCATGGTTAACAATATCCATTATATAGTCTGGGTTTTTTTTTTAATTCTGTAAGAAGAGAATGAAAGAAATAAAAGGACTATAAATAGTGTGTAAGGCCTTTGCTGTCATACTAATCACTGCTTAAAACATTAGGTGATGCAAGGACAGATCTTCATGATTAAATGTTTAATAGTTAACTCTTTCGACTAAAATTTCACGGTTATTAAAATTAATGATAATCCCCACACACTATGCATCTCAAAGTACTTCTGCCCTAATCCAAACCCTCTTCTCTCCCATGAAACTCCAAAATTATACACAAACACATACCTAAATAGTAAATGTTCGGAGCTACCCAGCCACCGTAGGGTAACTCTTGTAAATGATTTGAGGCCTCATGGTTTCCCCCGATGAAGACTGTGAGAACTGGGGCTTTTTTCTCTCCAGAATAATACCTAGGACATAGGAGTGAAGTTGATAGTTAACACATCAGGCATGGTACAGAGCAAAATAAGGTCCTACGGAAAAAACTGAGCTCTTCATAAAAAGTGTATGAGTAAGAATAAAACTTTGGGTTTCAAGTCAGTGTTCGTTCAACGAGGTCAAGAAGTTTGTGGACTTCACGGCTATAACCTCAGCTTCTAGAACAGGAAGTAGCACACTGCAGGAGCCCAGTAAAAACTCCAGGATTATTCACGTGAACCCATTTCGGAGTCCTATCAAGTACAAGGCAGATGATCTAAACCTGTCAGCTTCTTCCTCCAGGTTATCCCTCCTGACTGCGATCCCTGCGAAATACAACAGACAAGTGTACAGAAGAACGAAAGTGACACTGCCTCTGCGCCAGGTCCTAGAAACACAGCGAATAAAGTAGGGGACTACGGGGGTCCGACAGCGGCAGCACGGGATTCGAACCCGCGCCCCCGTTTCTGCCCTCTGCTGGCTGCTCACACCGCGCGGCCGGGAGCGAGGCCAGCGGCGCCGCGCGCTCACCTGTAGAAAGTCTGCATGTGGCGGTACTTGGGCGGCACGGCCATGCAGCGCAGGTCGGCCTCGTTGCGCACCGCCTGGAAGTCGCCGCAGCACAGAAGGAGGTCCAGCGGGCCTGCGCCCCGTCGCTCCGCCAGCGCCAGCGTCTCGTAGATCTTGTCCAGCTCGCCGTGGCAGCAGCCGGCCACCGCCACCCGCATCCTGCCCGCTCTGCCCGACGCTCTCGGCGGCCCGGGCTCAACTGCAGGGAGCCGGAGACTGTGCGTTCAGCTCCCGCCAATATGAACAGATCCGCGGCCGCGCCGGGAGGCCGGCGCTGCAATCGACTTCCGGTTTCAAATCTCGCGAGAGAGAGCGGAAGGTCTCGGCCGCTGCCGGAACAGTCGGAGCCTTAGGTTTGGCTTGGACTTCGTGAAGATTGTGGTCTGAGGGGTGATACAGTTCAGAGCCAGAAGAACGGACTAAAATCCCCAGAAACAGGAACTCAGATTGATAAAGTTTAAACAAGTGAGCAAGAACGAGTGAGTAATTCCCTAGGGCAACTTCTCCCAGTAGACAGTTGCCTGAGAGTGAACAAAAGTGACCTAAAAAACATTTAATTAAACTTAAAACTTAGTGGGGATTTAAAAACTACCTCCTCTGAGTTTCTATTGTTTTTAAAAGTAAAGGACTAAAAAACAAAGTTTGTCTAACTGTAATGCACATTTAATGAAAAAAGGTGAGTGTCTCAAAAACTTGAGAGCAGAAAAGGACCAAACTCTTCACTGAAGGAGTGAGTACCTAGGATAGAAACTGGGAAAATAAACACCCCTGGAAACCTTCTGAATACATCATCATGAGAATACTGTACATCATCTACCGGACGTGGTGGCGCCTGCCTGTAATCCCAGCACTCAGGAAGCTGAGGCAGTGATCTTGAGGCCAGCCTGGACTACATAGTGAGACCCTGTCTCAACCTCCCCGCCAAAAAAAAAAAAGGGAGAATAGGTAATCTAATCAAGGTAATACAGGGGATGTGTCCATCTCTGCTCATTTTTAAAAACTAGATTTAAAATATCAAGGCACAGAGACACCAAAGTTGATTCAAAATGAAACATGTAAACAAAACAATAACAACAGGAGACATCCCAACAGTTGCCAAAGATTAAATATAAAAGCATGGTTTCCAGAGTGCCAATTTCTTTCAAATTTATAAGGAAGATATAATTTTCAGGATATTTAATCTGATCAAAAGTTGATAAATTAATATTTCTAGTTTTCAATATTTTACTTCTGTATTGGATTTTTTTATCTAAGTGAGAGAGTAGGTATATGTTTAGCTTTACTAGATAGGGTCCATTTTCAAAGTGATTGATGTACTTATTTCTTACTACAAGGAGAATTCTGATTCCATAGATTCAGCAATGCTTCGTATTGTATACTGTATTTTAGTCATTTTATTGAGTGGGTATCTTCTTATGATTTCTAGGTCAATTTTACAACAAAATATTGATAATCAATTTGATTTTTCTTTCAGCGCTAGAGATCGAACTTAGGGCCTTCACACTGAGTTACTGCCCCAGCCCTCCTCTCCTACTCACACACTTTTTTTTCTTTTTTTGAGACAGGGTCTTGCTAAGTCACTAATTGTCCAGGTTGGACTCAAACTTGCAGTCTTACCTCAGCCTCCCAGAGTGCTGGGATTACAGGCATGTGCCACTGTGGCTGGAAATTCAAATGTTTTACAACCAATAGGAAACAATAACTTAATGCTATAACATTCAAAAAATGAATATTTTAAAAAATAAGTAGAAGATTATGAATAGGAATGAAAAAGTGTATCATGGCTTTGTTCCTAACTCTATTCCTAGCCTAAACCCCAATTCCAAAGGTTATACTAGTCAGTCAACTAACTTGAGAATTCTTACACTGATTTTCTCAAATCCAGAGGGAATCAAATAGTTTTATCCCTTCCCATTCTGAATGAGAGAAGCAAGAGGGTTGTTGAGGAAAATGAGTAAACAATATAGGTAACTACAGATATTAAGGGCTGTTGTTTAAATAGACAGGCGCCCTCAACCCGTGTATGGGCCCACAGGGAAGGCAAGCAGGTCTTGGATACAGTGGGAAAGAAGTTCCTTGATTCTGTCAGAACAAAGTGCCTAGAGAGATACACCCATAAAAGTGCAAGATGGAAAAAACTCCTGTATATGGAAATATGCTATAAAGAACATTATCCAAATTGAGACTAAGCAAAAGTGTTATTTAAAGTTCTTTGGGGAGTATGGCTCAGTAAAGGAGTGCATGGTTAGTGTGGGCAAGGTCCCGTGTTCAGTCTAGTTACAGTTTGGATCTTAAATAACCCCTAAAGGGCCATGTCCTGAAGACTTGGTTGCCAAGTGTCACAATTGGGAAGTGTCTTAGTCACTTTTTCATTGCTGGGACACAATACCCAACACCCACAACTTAAAGGAGGATTCAGTCTGTAGTTGGCTGGCTTCAAGGCAGGAAGGGTGTAGTGGAAGAATCTGGCAGAAGAAAGCTGCTCACATCATGTGGTCAGGAACCAGAGAGAAGGGAGAAATAGGAGAGGGAGATGGACCTTTCCTAGTCATGTCCAACCACCTCCCACCTCCTAACCGCACATTTAGCTATGGATTCATCAATGAATTAAATACATCCATCCATAGATAGATAGATAATAGAAATTTGCCAGGCATAGTGGTACATGCCTATAGTCCCCACTGCATGGGATGCTGACACAGGAAGATTGCTTGAGCCACGGAGAACAGGACCAACTTGAGCAATGTAGTGACAACCAATCTCCATAAAAACAACAAAATTTCCTTCTGAGGTACAAGTCAGACTTTGATTTTTGAATGCTACTGGCCTCTGAAAGAAATCTGGTCACCCTGTTGAAATGGTTGATTTTAGAACAAGTAAAATAAACGAGCCTGAATCATCTTGTTGTGCTTAAAGAACTTGGGGGCCTCAAACGGATGCCAGATTGAAGGTGTTTTTACTGGCCAAGTCTGGAACAACTTTAGTATCAATATACAAAATCATAGGGCCGGGGATGTAGCTCAGCAGGCACAAGTGCCTGCCTGGCAAGTGCAAGGTCCTGAGTTCAATTCCTGGTACAAAATACATAATTATAGTAAAAAAACTACAGCTTAGTGAATAAAGTAGGAACCTATTACAAATGGCTTTTGATAGCTTGACTTAATGATTTCTTGACTTGACAATGGTATGAAAGCAATAAGCATTCATTAGAAAGTGTATTTTATCTAATTTTATAGTTTGGTCTTTTTCCAGGCTAGTAGAGTCCTATCTCATGATGTGGGCCACAACAAGCTGCAGCAAGCTGCAGCTCCCAGCCAACCAGGCAATCATGAGGACAAATAAACTACACTAAGCTATGATGTTCAATAGGTTAGGTACGTTAAATGTATTCTGGACTTACGGTATTTTCAACTTATGATGTCTTTATTGGAATATAACCACACCATAAGTTGAGGAGCATCCGTATTCTATATTAAAAAAATAAGTACATTATAGAGAAAAGGGAGATGTCTTCTTTACTTAAGAAGGCTGAGTAATAAATATAGAAGAAAGGCTGGAATTAGACATCACTAATTAGATTTTTGGGGGAGTGGTTCTAACAGCCCGAGGGAAGGAGCCAACTCTACAGAGGCCAAACTCCTGGCCTAGGCTCCCCAATACTCTCACTCCCATCTGAAAGAGGAAATCATCATGGGTGTAAACAGTGGGTTGGGGCCCAGGGAGCAGAGGAAAGGAGAAATAGCAACACAGAAGCACCTTCCCTCCCGTAGCATCCTCCCAAATGCCAGGATACCCTGCATCTTGGTGGCGTCTTACTGCTCCCTGGCCCACACTGACAAGAGAAGCATCCATGCTAAGCAGAGAGAAGCTGAACACCACCACCTGGGGTGGCACCAAGCTTGCTGACAGGGACCCACAGATCACATCCCTGGAGACACCTGGGTGGGAGAGAGATTGGACAAAGTCAGTCTGGAAGGAGGAATTCCCTGTTGTTTTCCCAAAGGCTGGAATATTTGGTTAGCAGGACATGCTAACCACCACTCACCATCTCATGCTGGGAATAAGGACCCTCTGCCAAGGTCAGGACTGCTCCAGGTCCAGTAGGTTAGAAAGCAGAGCTCTTGAGTCAGGGATGGTTTATGATCTGAGCACAAAGGAACAGAGAAAGTTGGCTGGAGCAGAGATCTTCTGGTGACACACTGGGCAGAAAGCCACTGGTGGGCAATTACAGAGGAGCACAGGATTTGACCCATAGCAAGGGGTGTAAGAGTAATAGGTCCCTGGCAGAAGTCACTAGAGAGCCTGGTGTTGGGCAAGCTATTTTACATCTGCCCCTTCACAAGTTAATTGAGGTGGTTAAATCTTAGGACAGAGAAAGAAGGCTGCAGTTAACCACACCCAAAGCATGGGTCACAGCCAGGAGGTAGGTGCAGACAGACTGACTCCATGGCTGACAGCTAATCAGTCTGCAATTGGGGGAAATTGCCTTGGCTTCCTGCAAGTGGACTGCAACTACCTCAGAAAGGGAATTGTGTAGACACTCTGACTACATGATATAGCAGCCACATGGGGGTAGGGGCTCTTGTTTCTGAATCTGTTCTGGATTCTCTGGGGGGGGTTTCCCCTTTTTCTTTAATTCTTGCTTCTATATCAATATTTTATGGTTTTTTTGGGTTGGGGTTTTTGGTCCTTTTTCAATTTTTTCCTTTATTCTGCGCTCGCTCTCTCTCTCTCTCTCTCTCTCTCTCTCTCTCTCTCTCTCTCTCTCCCAGTCTCTCTCCTATTTCCCCTTTTTAACCTTTTTCCCCTATTCCCTTCACTCTTCCTTGTTTTACCTATCACCTCGCCTTCCCTTGCTTCTTTCCCATCTTTCATGCAGTATATATCAAGTGCAAATACAAAAAGAATAAAAATAGACCAGCACTTTAACTTGAATGGTACCACTTATGGTCATTTCAGGGTAACCCTTAATAGAACTGTGTTTAGAATGTTCAAACAAAACTAACCACAAATATTAACAGGTTCTGACAATCTTATAAGTTCTTCCAATCTCTAATTACACCTTCCCTTGTGTTATGGTTTGGGGCTTATCTTTGCAAGGGGGAACAATATAATATAGGACACATATTTTATAAGATTATTTATAATAGTCACCCAAAGAACAATATACAAGAGGGTGCAGGAAATCTGTCCACAAACGAAGACCAAGGAATCCAGCTGAAGACCTGAATTCCACAGGAATGTCCTGCATGAGTCCAGCTGAATACCTAGAGCTCATAACAGTGCCTCCCACAAATCCAACTGGAGGCTCAGAGCCCACTACAACATCTCGTGCAGGCCTCTTTCAGGGATCTACGCTGGGAAGGCCCAAAGGTTAGTGGTGGAATCTAGGAAGTCCATGCCAGTGGGATGAAGCATCTGTGCTAGCAGGCAGAGGGCTCTGCACTGGAGCCAAAAAGTGATGCTCAGAAGAACCAGAGCTCCCCGAAAAGGTACCATAGCCATCCTCAGCAACAGTGAGGTCCCAAGCTCCTGCAATGATCAAGATGGCCGACTTCCCATCAGAGAAGCTAATGCAGCAAGCTTCTCCAGGAAACTGGCAGTGCACCACCTTCCCCTCTGGAGCCAGGAAGTGATGCTCAGAGTGAGGACCAGAGCTCCCCCAAAGTGAATCGAAGCTATTCTCAGTGCCAGCAAGGTCCTGAGCTCCTTGGAGGATGAAAACAGCTAAGTTCATCAGGAAAGCCAGCATGACAAGCTCTTCCAAAAAACCAACAGCTCCTTACAGCCTCCACTAGCTCCAGCAGCCTTTCTCCACTCCCAAAAGCCTCTTTAGTTTCCAAAAGCCTCCTCCTTCTTCCCCAGGTCTTCCTCTTATGCTGCTGGCAGCAGTCCTCAGGTGGGCCTCCTGCACCCAGTACCATGCTTACTCAGTTTAGCTGGAGGTTAGAAGTTGACCACCAGTTATCCATCCACTATACCCTGCATTCCTCCTCCCACTCCCACAAATATTCTCTTAAACCCCCTCACCACTAACCCCTTACTCTGACTGTTAAAAATCTCTGACAGTGTCTGACCCCCACCTCATTTTAAACCTATTAATATTTCTCTTATCTCCCTCTCCTCCTATTACCTTACTTCCCTCCTCTTCCCTTTCCTCCTTCCTTCCCTTTTCCTCCTACTTCACACTAATGAAAATAGCATTGTATAGACCAGTGATGGCAAACCTTTTAGAGCTTTCAATGATAACAAACAGCCAGCAGCAGCACACGTGGCATAGGTTTACCACCACTGGTACAGACTATAAGGGGCACTGATAAAAGGTCAAAATTATAACAACAAGTTTTAAAACTTATGATTAGCATAGGTCTGATCTGTTGATGCCATTATAACCAGTAGAAATTCTCTGCATACAATATGATGACAGGGTACAATCCAAGTAAATCGAATAGTTTGAAGTGGTAAATAGTACCTCTTGACAAAGCCTAGAGCACCTCACTGGAAAATAGAACCTAACTAAAGAGATCTTCATGCCAGCAAGAAATTCTCTTCACACTATTTGACCTTAAACTTCAGTACACACACACACACACACACAATGACTCCAAAGACTCTAAACTCCCCAAAAGGAGATCCAAGGGGCACTGATGGAAAAGAAATTAAAAAAACAGCTCAGATGCATGAAATGATTAATAAGGAGGCAAAGAAACTTGAGCACAAAGATGACATAACTCAAAAGAGAGTGAAACTAACAGAGTGACCAATGTGGTTATAAAATAAACAAAAAATTAAAAGGGCCAACCAAAACTGTTCAAAACATGAATGACAAATTTACTAAAGAAACAGATTCCATGAAAAGGTGCCAAACAGAAACCCTGGAGTCATAGAATTCTACTGAATATATAAATAGTAGAAATGACCAATGTGAGGATAGCATCTCACAAATCAAGGACAAAGTGGAAGCACATGATGATATACTCAGAGAAACCTTAACAAGTTTATGATGGGGCTATAATCTGTATGTCTCACTGCCAGGTGACTGATTTGAGTTTCATCATCCGATGCTAAATAGCTAATCGCCAGTGGTTCAGAGCACCCAATGGGACAATTATGCATGTACCACTGCTGGTTCAAACTGGCAGGAACATGTTAAAAATAATAAGAGAGCAAGAAAATTCATCTAACAGCTACTAAGTGACACAGAAAATTAACCTAATACTACTTGGTGATAGAATTTTTTAAAATATGTTTACAGAAATCATAGTAGAAAACCTTCCAAGCATGGGGCAAAAACTATATATATAGATAAAGAAGGACTACAGAATACCAAATAACTACAATTTTTTACTTTTTTTTTTTTTTTT